GTGCGGGTTCTGGGTCGAGAAAGAAAATAAACAAGCACCCGGACGACATGGGATTGTTTTAGCAGCTCCGGGAGGCAGAATCTCAACTCTCTCGGCTCGAAACCCCCGAGAGTTCCCCGGCAGCCGGGAGAGGGGGGCACGGCGGACGAAGTTGGCCCCCTGACTTTCTCCGGAAGAGTTTTCCGCTCCCTCGCCCCCCCCTCTGGCTGCTCTCCGTGCCCCCTATGCGGCCGCGAGGGACGGGACGGAGCGGCGCCCACTGACTGCGCGAGGGACGGTCTCTGTCAGCCCGGGTCCGGCCGGGCGCGCGATGGCGTTCGGCCGCGGTGTGCGCGCGCTGGCAGTGCTGCTCGTGCTGGCTGTGGAGATTCCGGGGAGCTGCGCCACCAACCTGGAGCCCATCTACTGGAACTCGCTCAACAGGAGGTAGGTGGTCTGCTGGTCTGGGTGGATCTCCGGGGGGGGCGAGGGGAGTCCGGTCGGACCGGTTCGGCGGGGGAGTGGGTCTGCGGGCTGGTTGTGCCCCTGGCCGGGCGCTGTGGACTCTTGGGAGGGGGGGAGGCTCGGTTCTGGGGTCCGGGTGTTGTGGCTCGACCTGTTGCGCGGTGTAGCTGTGTGCGACTGGGCGCGTCAGCAGCGTGAGCGGCCGCTGGTCCCACACCCCCGGACACGAACTCTTACCCTGCTGGACAGCGATTAGAGACCAACCCCTCTAATCGCCCGGCTGGAAGGAACTCGCTACCCGGGCTGTGATCTCGCCGCTGTCACGCGTGGGAATCCACAGTTACTCAGTGACCTTTCTCCAGTCGCTCTGGAAGTGAAGTGCGTGTCCGTGATTAGAGAGGCAGGACACGGTCTCCGGGTACTGGCGGCGCCGTGTCGAGCCCACTCGGGACTCCCCCCCACGAGCGGGCTCAGCGGGGTGAACCCGATCGCTCTGAGGAAGCCCGGTCCGGTCCAGCGGCCAGCCCTCAGCCCTCAGTCTGGAGAGGCCGCTTCTCCTTTCAACGGGAGCGCTAGTGAGAGGGCCCCCCAGAGTAGGAAGGCGGTGTGCGCTACTGCAGGCGGGGACTTGCCTGTCTCCCCCAGGCCCTGTGTTTATCTGGGGTGCTCAGCTGTGGCCGGGCGGTTATGGGGGACCCCGCTATGATGGGTGAGCTGAAGCTGTGTCCGGCTGGGACAGACTGGACACTCTGGGCTCGCCCTGCCTCTGGACAGGCCCCACCCTGTGAAGTGGTTTAAAATGGCCCCCCCCAGACTGACTCGGGTTCATCCAGGTGTCCAGCGTCTGTCCACTGTGTCCAGGGCAGGGCGCTATCCCAGCAAGCAGCGGGCACGTGGCGGGGTACAGGGTACACCCTGTATGGGACGCCAGTCCCCCACAGGGCAGACACACACACAGACACACACACTCTCCCCCCACGGCCAGTTTTCCCAGAAGCAAGTTAACCCACCAGCTTGTCATTGGACTGTGCAAGGAAACTAGGGCAACAGGAGGAAACTCAGGGAGAACATGCAGACTCCACACAGACAGCACGCCAGGAGCTGGACCCAGGGCCCCCTGCGCCTCTGTGTCGCTTGATGTCTTCGGTGGCTGTGAGTTCCCCATCTTTTCACAGCACATCTCTGGGATCGATGTCTGTCTGGGGCTCGACAAGCCTCTGGACTGGTCCTGTTTCTGGAACTGTGACCCTGCTGTGTGGCAGGAACACTGCTCTGTCCTGGTCCTGGGGGGTCAGTGTGTCTGCTGGGTGTCCAGTCC